GGGCAGGATATGCCTTTTAGAGACGCGATTGTAGAGGACACTAAAAAGATGTGTCTTCAAATTGTAGGACTATGTAAATCGCGGGACGTTTTAGATTCTCCTTTGAAATTAGAATATTAGTTCTAGTAAAAGAAAAACCGTTAAGAAGATTTCTATCGCAACCACTTAAGCAAGCAGAATTAAAATTTAAATGAGCAATCTCTATGCATACCAGAGCCATTGTCAGCACAACTCTTACGTTTCGACCTAACGTTTTTGTGAGCAAAGTCTGTGTGGCAATGTATTTGCAATTTTCTGCCCCATTTGGGATTTCCTTCTTCATTTAAGGTTTTGTAAGCCCCGACATCTTTGGTTATGTGTTCTATGGCGGGCTTAAACTGGCTAACCCGGAGACTGTGTTGTAAGTTTAGTCGACTCCGACAGAGTATGACTCGTTTATGCAGCAAAGATTCCAGATATCCCATGGGTATCTGATGTGTGCTTTTTGTGAGAGTTTCCTTTGGAAAGGACTGCCGAATGAGTGGACGAGAACCAGGTCTTTGTGCAACAGCTCCTAGGTAACAAAGCCGTAGGCTGAATGAGATGCTGTCATCAGCGAAAGCCAATGCTGGGCACAGGTTGAATATTTTAGACATGACGATTGCGTCAGTTTTCAGCTTAAACATGACTCGAAACCGAACGCTGACGCAGCAATCGCTTCCAATCTCTGTCCAGCGTTGACCTTCGTCGGTGTCCCAAAAATCTCAACACTATGGCCTTGTCTTCCAGGTGGGTTTACTTTAAGGCGCTGTGCGTGTCGAGGCTTTCCGAGCACGCTTCTAGGCATAGAACGTACGGCCAAACCGTAGTGCGTTTTGACATCTAAATATCACTGACAGCTTAAAACGAGAAGGCGAGGCCCAATATAATCAAGCTTTTTGCTTCCTGATTTGTTCTTCTGGACCCTTATCGGCCAATGTCACAATCGCATTGGTTACAGAGCGACAATAACATGCTCAGGACTCAACAGGCCCTGCATTTCTTAAACGTGCTGTGACGTCACAGATGACGCGCAGATATTATTGAAAGTACGAGGAACGTCCTTCTTTTTTTATTTTCTCTGCAAATGTCTTGTTTTCGGCCCGGTTTTCTTTGCGGGCCCTTGTGCGTTCCCCGTAATCGCGGGACTCTTGTCGGGCCGATCGTCCGTCGCTGCGTTGTCAGGAAGAAAGTCCCCTCCACCGTCGACCACGACTGGAATGTCCGGAAGTGCAACGCCTCCAAGATTAACGTACACGGGAACGGTCACGTGGGTAGCAGGAGGTGGGTAGATGGGAGTAGCCTGTGGATACGGGTACATAACGCCGCGATACCACGGATAGTAATAATGTCCAGGGTACCAGGGGATGCTCCAGAGCGGCCTCTGGAACACAGTAGGTTTTGCCGCAGACACGATGCCGGCGGTGTTCAAGGAACTGGCGTTGGTTCCTGCCTTTGCGGAAGAACGGTGGACGTTGCCGGGATTCGTGTAAACTACTATTCTCGAAGATCCGTAGTAGGGTCTTCGAAGGGTGAGGCCGTACGGCCTCTGGTAGGTCTGGAAGTACCCCTTAGCTGGTGGTCTTGAAGATGACGGGTAGTTTGGTGGGGCAGCGTAGGTGGTGTGTTGTCTGTGGGTTGTTTCGGTGTTTGAAAACCAGATTCCAACGGGGGCTGTGTAGTTCGTGAATGGGGTTTCGGCGCTTCCGTTCTTGGAAGGTAGAATGGTGTGCTTCGAATCTGGAGAGCCGATCGCTGTGAGGACGAGTAAATTGGTTCCCAGAAGCGTGTGGGCAATGGGCGTAACATTGTAACCAGTGGAGTTTCCATCTTTTTTTGCGGTTTGGGTTGTAACAGGAATTCTGTCGGCGATGGCAGACTCTGTGTGACCTTCCTCTCGTGGTAAAGACTCCGTCGTTGCAGCCGTTGATTTGACGGCTGAAAACACAAAAAGGTATGCCTCAAGCTCTGCACATTGTATAAGATCCGAATATTGCGTGATTTAGTGTGAAATTTAAGGAATACAACCTCGAGGCCCTATGCTTGAGTATCTGCTTGACTACGAAGCAGGTCACGGGCCAATCAATTCTATTTGCGATGCTCAAGAAACGATTTCGTTTGGAAGCGAAATCTACACAAGTCATGGACAAACAGAACCTCGCGCTCCTGTTGCTGCACTTAAATTTTTAATTCGTGTTTCTTTTCCATGTGTGAAGGGGTCAAGGCACAAAGATTAAGGAGGTAGATTATTCTTAAAGTGGAATGCTCATAGGCTACTTAGTACATACACAACGTTTCGTGATTTTTAGAGCTTTAATTATTGCAATAATCAACTTACGATGGTTGATCATTATTACCTGGCAACTAGGCAACACTGCCTGTAGGTAGTCACACCATGGTGCCCATAAACCACTTGATCATGAGGAGTAGCTGAACAGTCTCATTCTAGGCGTCCCCATGCTCGCACAAGCTCGCCTCGCTACGGTACAATAGCACACTCCCAAGCTACTTGACTACTCCTAAGCTATTTTCGTTCTCGTGCCCTTGTCTTTTGACCTTATACCCTGAATGCACGTTCTCAATCTCCACGTACGACGGCGAGCTCGTCCGTGACAATCTTGTCGTCGTCGTAACTAGAGCTGGTTGCTAACGGTTCTAAGTCGAAATGACCGTCTTCCAGCATATCTTGATGACAATCACTCTCATCGCTGCTGCGGTCAGTGTCGAAGACTCCGACGAAGCGAGCGATGCCGTAGACGTAATCGTCTCGAAACCTCGTGCTCGAAATGCGGTAGGCGTTAACTAGGAAGCTGAAGCACAAGACACCGAGAGAGCCAGGTGTACGAGTGCGTCCAGGGAGACGCCGTTCGTTGGGCGAATTACGTCACCGACCCACCAAACATCGCGGCCTTTCCCAATGGGATCAATCCGAGTGACCCGCACATAAATCAGTTTATCCACAGAACTATCGTGCCATTTTCAAGACAAATTTCGCAAAAATATAGGAACGTACAACGGGTCCCAGCAGTAAAGGTATTTCCATTTTTATATTTTGCGTGTGTTGACCCCTTTAAGATTACTTTCTAATCGTTTTGCCAAGTCTTGTAAAAACATGTTACGAAAGGAGATGACTTTTGTTTACTACCACCAGATAATGCTTGACTCCCGCTAGTGACTTACTGCGAGCCGTGGCAGTACAATTACCTTTTAAAACGCCGGTATCAAGAACTGCTGTGCCTGTGATCCCATACTCGGTGGAATCTTCTTTTCTAGAGGGCTGCGTTGTTTCTTCTATATTCGATGAGTCAGCGCCTGAAACTTAAAAGGGTTGAGTTCAAGATATCCTAGAAAGCATCTTTAACATGTGGCTGCCAAACTCAGAGAGACAATAGAAGGTTATTTGGTGCTCGCATGTTTAAACGTGGAATGACCAACTGTGTGATCATCAAATATTAATTGATCAATGATTTGTAAATTTTTTAACGAAGTGGCAAGGTATTTTTTTTTTATTTTCATGTATGTGTGATGTATGTGTGCGATGTGTTTCTATTTAAACGAGAAGTTGGCCTATAAGGTATTAGACGAAGTTTAGCGAAAGTTTCATCGTTCAAGCAAACATTTACGAGAAAGCTACATATTAAAAATTGTGCTAAACAGAACTCATTAGTGGTAGAAATAAACAAGTGCTTAACGACTTTGTTGCCTCGTCGTTTTGTGCACAACTTTTTATTTCATAAAATCTAGCAGAAAAACAGAATATAAGTTATGCTATTGTTTGTTTTATGTTGAGAGCACTAACATCAAGAGTGTCATTGACTCCTCGGCTAAAAACGTACCGAAATTGCTTTCTTGTTCGTAAACCCGAGTTGGCCAAGGCAGGAAGTCAGTATCTTGTCCGGCACTCTAGTTATTGGCGGTTTCATAAAAACACCACTTCACCCCGTAAAACATCCAATCGACGCTGCAACATGAAGCCCACAATACCTTTGTGACGTAAGTTATTTCATAAATTTCGAAACGTCTTCCTTGACATCAATTTTCAAGTACGAATTGTGAGCATATATTGCCTCCGAGAGTAAAGAAAGAATACTGACGAAACATAACTTACCAATGACCTGAACAAGCAGGACGATGAAAAGCAAGCTCTCGACACCCGACATCTCGCAGATGACTCTTCAGTTCCAGACGCTTCTGCTAGCGTGGTCCTGAGGCAGTTTGTCACCGAACCACCGTAGCTGCTTTGTACACTGGCTGAGATACGTTGAAATGAAAAGTCCGGACGTGGAGGAGAGTCCATTGATGGATTGTCCATCGAACTATACTTCGTTCACCCCTCAGGTAACAATGCAGTGGAAGTGACGCGTTGGCTAGGGCAATTAACCGCTCACCCTCTATCACCTGACCTAGCTCTCTGCGCGTGGGTAAGGACGGTGCCATTATCACGTGATGAAAAATACACGTGTGACGGGTCCAACGAGCATGAAGCATTCATCGTACTGTCAGCTTAGGGGTGAATGGAGCATGAACGGGGTCATACCGGCGGAGTCGATTGTTTGCGAACCTGACGCTTCCCTTCCCGTCTGGAGCGTTGACCTGCTCAGAGGACGCATGTTGCTGCCGATATGGTTCATGGGCTCAGGATGCGGAATCGCTGCGTTTGAGTTTTGTATGAATCGGTAATTTGTTTTTGTCGTTACATGTTGTTGTTTCGCTTATGTTTGAGAGAGGCGAATATGCCCAACGTAACTTTCCACGTGAGCTGAAAAGACTGAACCGGCGATGCTCACACGCAAATGCGACTTTCTTGTTACTGTCCAGGAAGCCATTTCGGTGATTGTTCTCTAGATTTATTAATGGCGTCCGACACTTCGCGGCACCTTTCGGTGTCGGTTTAGTGTTTTCAAACATTGTAATACATAAAGAAAAAACGTATACATTTCGGAAGTTTGAGACTTATCAATGCTCCAGGTGTAATTGGGAAGATGCTACATATCGGTTATCTAGTGGAGCAATTGACACAAGAGCGGGTTAGTAAGACCCAAAAATGCAACTCGACAGCAGAGGCGGTTACTCTTCCGCAATATGAACGTAGATTAAAAGTTTCATTACCGATCTGTAACAATCTCGCACGAGAACATTACATTAGCATACCAGACATATTATATTCAGTGTGCCAGGTTATCAGAAGCATCGTGCTGGCAAAATTGATCATTCACAAATGAAGCCGCCTGAATTTAGCGTCGTTTAGGAACTAGCGAGCACAATTTATTTATTTATTTATGTAGTATACACTGCGGATGTTTTGAATATGCATTTATAGGTTTTACAACATATAAAATTTCGCAGCAATCGCAGGTAATAAAAGAAAACGTGTTGAAACATATATTTTATGGAAACAAGACCTAATATATTATGGAAAAATATAAACAAACAACGGCAAAATACTCTGTATTTGCTCTGCCAGGGCGTTACCGACAGATACAATTTTAACAGATTATTTTATTTGCTATGGGAACTGGTTATTCATGGACACCAGTTCTTAAACTGCGCGGGCATGGAAACCAAACATGAAAAGAGAAATAATAAAAATAAAAATATTTATAATGCGAGATTAAGAAGTAAATAAGCGACAAAGGCTATTCAATATTGCATTATTACGATCTTCTTTCATGGTCAACTTACTTTGTGAAAGCGCAAAATACAAAATAACGCTGCGTTTACTGGCAGCTGCCAAGCTGCTGCCAGCAGAATTTCAAATGGACAAAAATGTACAGAACCAGCAATTTAAAACGAGCGCATGTATTTACCATCACCATGAAATCACGTGCTTTTCTCTTTTACTTTCCCTAACATGCGCTCACGACAACGCTAGTTATGCTTATTACGCGCGCTGGTTTATTACATTACGAGTATTTATAAAGTAGTCACACTTGTCTTACTTCTTATTTTTATAAGCTGGCGTTAACGGCTAAGCATGGCGTGAAGAGGATCATTGACAAAGGCTACATATGGAAGCAAACAATAAAGGGATTACTCCAAATTCATTATTGCTAGACACCCTTGCAACGTGTTTCACTGGGGGAACTGTATAAGGCCGGAGCACGGTGTAAGATATACATATAGGTGTTCCAACCGCGCACGTGGTAGCTTCCAGATAAAGTTCTCCCCTTAGTTGCAAGCGGAACCACCAGTTGACTCTTCGGTAATAGGCCAGTAATAGCTTGTCGCGAGCCCGGTTTTCCACGCTTCTTTGTGATGCTCGTTTTTAAAAGTTGTTTTTTTGGTGTGCCCTAGTTTGACCCTAGTTTCGGGCCTCAACGGCGAAACTAACAGTTTTATGACCGCGTTGTATCGGAGAGATATCTTGGCCCGGTGTTCAAGCCGGCGTCCGTCGAGGTGAGAATAAATACGCCGAGGGGGGAGCACGTGTGCCAAAGTGCCATGGCATAGCTTCTTCTATACTCACAAAGCCTGACACTTCGACGACGGAGCCATAGAGTGCCCGGTCGCAAACTCAGAGCGCGAGGATCTGGTAGCACAGAGCATCAAGGAGCCATTTCTCGGGGAACCTGGACGTCAGCGCACAGCTTCTGCAGCGGCGAGGACCCGAAACCCACTTGTTCCCTCGGGAAAAGTGCGTTTCGGCGACCCGCCGCAGCAGGGCGCCAGTCACGTGGCTCTCCTCTACCCCGTTGTCTGCCGCCCCTCTTTTCCACTTCGGCGGCCGCTTCTCGTGGCGATCTGCCAGGCTTCGTCAGTATATGGAAGGCTATGGCCATGGCAACGAGACTTTTTTTTTTTTAATCCTCGGTTGGACTGTCTGGCTGGCGGAGACACTGTCAGGATAGGCTGCTCAAGCGCGCCCCACTAGGACTTTATGGGATCGATCGCGTCGTAGCTTTCGCCATGTTGAATCCTCAACCAAGGAGTATCTTACACAGTATGTAGGAGTATTCAAAAAAAGAAAACAATCTGCGATGTCTTGCGCGGCACCACTCGCGCATCAGAAGACAATGATCGGACTTGCCTGCCTGAGCTCGTGATCTGAGAGCGTGGACAATAGAACTGCGAGATACCAATGACGCGAGCTAGACGCTGATGTCCCGGAAAATACACCTGCGACTAGCTAGGGCTGTAGTGTCTTCCTTTATTACGCGGATACAACACATTCCCTCCCCTATCGGGTCTGTAGACTAGTCGTCGTGGCTAATTCTGTAGCTCGTAAACAAAGTTCTTGGTTTTCGGACGCAGCTGTGGAGTTCCGAAGGTCTTGGTCACGCGGGGAACTTTGAGGGCTACTTGGTGTGCGGGCTCACGTTCCGCAAACTTTCGCGGTACGTGAGCTCGTTAAATGAAGCGGCTGATTGAACTTTTTTTTTTTTTTCGTTACGGAGAGGCGGACGAGCAAGCACATATTTAGTTTAAAAGGAAAAATATTTATCATCTGGCAAAGTGACCCAATGTTTATAAATTCCTGGCAGAGTTTGTGGAAACCTTGAACCGAAACAAGTATTGCTACAGTTCGGACTCCAGTAAACCATTATTCCCCAATCAATATGGGATACTCTCCGATAATACGTCTTTCTTTTTTTGTCGTTATACAGATTACAAAATACCGAAAATGGGCTCCTCATCACTGCTCAGTGGACTGGCTCATTATCAATCTACTTAATTGCACTTGACATCAAGTTCGAGCGCGGCTTGCCTAATTGTGATTGGTCAACCGATTGCCCACGGTAATATGGGCCGCGTCTCAAAGGTTTTCAACCTCGCCGTCTTGTACTTTTGCCTTCGAAAACCACACTTGCTCCACAGCGTTGCTCTATTTGTGCTGCTATGTGATCCATTAGAGTACATTTGCAACATCGCCATGGTTAATAGTGCATAAGAGCAACCGTGCAAATTTTCCCCCTTCATTGATATAACTTGCCTGAACAGCTCAACGATCCACAAATTCGCGATCGATATATAATACAAAGACATTAACGCGTGACCCATCTTCAAAGCTTTGGTGCGGCGTCGATTCTTGATTGGTATCCAAGCGTGCGAAGGCACAGAAACACAACGCTTCGGCGTGCCGAGGAAGCTTTAATCAAGCCGCGATACCGGCGAAACTTGCTTTCGACGAGTTGTGTCGTTTTCCTGCGGCACTGTGCTTTCGTTAAAATGTCCACGTGTTTTGAACGGCAAGTCTCACAACTTACACAGGGTTTAAAAAAGAACTACTTCGGTGAATGACGGCGAACGAGTAGAAAACGTGTCTTCAGCACGCTGCAGCCAGACTCTGCAACGCTAGAAAAAAACGCGGTTTCGCCGCATTCAAGATGGCCGACCATGGCCGCACTCACGAAGCGGGGCAGCGCGATCCAGCAACTGACATAGAGATCAGTGGTGCGTACACGACATGGACAATGAACAGGTGAAACGTCATGCTCGCCGTTTCTGCGCACATAGGATTTATTTTATCTAATCATATTCTCAGCTTTCTATCCTACCACAGCAGCACCACAAGTGCATAAAAGTGGATTAAATTGTGTTTCCAATCAATCATATCTCTAATTCGCGGAGACCCTCCTGTTGTTTGCCGTGATTTGATGTCTTCGTTATCCGCCGGAAAATAAACTCGGAGACATTTTATTTTATCTGTATCGAGTGTGAGCTCGCCTGTTTATCATTGGCTTTCGCATCGCGCTACAATAGTCACTCATAACGTAAGAAACGCATAGCGTTGCGAGAACTCTTCATCTCCTTATCACTGCAGTGTCAATGAAATTGCTGCCTTAGCCGATAACAACAACGAAGAAGGAATCAAGAAACGATAAGGGTAAGCAGGATATACCACGCCCAAGCTGTCAGCGTGCATGCAATTAACTTTTTACGTATCATTTATTGGACGGCCAGGACTTCGTAGTCAACGGACGGCGGTGGCGATTACGCCACGGACAATAATAACAATCACTCTTGGCGGCAGGGTTGGTGGAGGCGTCGGCGGTGGCGGTCTCCGTGTCGTTGGCGGCGGCGTTGTAGTTGGAGGTGGTGGAGATGTAGGTGGCGGAGACACGCAGAGGTACCTGGCATATGAGACGATATAAATAATATATATACACCGGGTAATATTTGTACAGCGGAGCAGTTAAGGGCTATGGTTTCCTAAGAGTCGCGTCCGCCAGCAAATAAATGTCGACACAACACTCCTGACAGTTACCGCCATCTATGGGCGACGGCGGCAAGCCGGCTGTCTGGTTGCCGCCGTCGCTCATAGATGGCGGCAACCTTTCCAGTCTTTCCACTTTGGCTTGCCAACTTGTGGCCGGCCGTTACTTCATTCCCACCATAGTACAGCTTCAATCGTCTTCCTTCTTCACCAGAGTGGAAAGGCTAACAGTTTTTTGTTGTTTTTTTTATTCAAAACTGATTTTTAAAAAAGGCGTCTTTACTGCTACGTAAATGCCGTCTTAACTGTGTGTTTCTTTTGCTCGATATTTGAGAGGCGAACAACCGGCACAGTCTGGTGAGAAATCAACAAAAAATCAATAATTCACTTCTTAAATAGTGAAAATAGACATATGGTTCTCTATAGAAACTCGATGAGCGTCATTTCAGATAACTATATCCGTAATTTTCAGAAAGACTCTGAGCGCGGGAGAAGCGATGTAGTGCGCTAAATTTACCACATGTGTAGGAGGTACAAGGCTGGGGCTATGATAAAGAGACGGAATATTACGCGGGCGTCTTATCGGATTGGCAGCCTTGTACCCGCTACACAGGTGGTAACTTTAGCGCACTACATCGCTTCTCCCGCGCTCAGTCTTTCTAAAAATTACTGATTCAATTGTTTTAAATGACGCTCAGTAAGTTTCTTACTGGACCCATATGTCTATTTTCCCAATTTAAAAAGTTAGTTAACGAGTTTTAGTGAATTTCTCACCACACTGTGACGGTTGTTCGCCCCTCGAGTGCCCTTCGAGCTCAATAATCACATTGTGAAGACGGCATTCACGTTGCAGTAAAGAGGCGTGTTTTTTTA